AAAAAAAAAAAAAAGAATCTATTAGAAGAATGCTTGGAACTAGCTAGGCTCCTAGGCTTGCTAACTTCAAATTGGTTATCTTTTATGTTCTCTCCTTTTCCTCAGCCAAATACAATTTGGAGGTGAGCCAATATTTATTTACCTACACTTTGCTGGGTAAATCACATTATTAACTCACATAATCCTTAAAACTTCACTCATAGATGAGAAAAATTAAGCTTTAAGAATTACTCAACATTCTCAAAGTTACTTAGTAAGAAACCCAGAATTCAGCTCCTCATATGTCTGACTTTAAAGCCCAATTCTTTCTACCATATGACAGAGCCTCCAATACTAAGAGCCAGAAGCTGAGTGAACAGTTATGACATCAACTTCAAACGTGCAAGAGAAAAAAATGTAAGAATCTTTAACAAAATCATCACATCCAATTGTAATAGAAAAGGATCTACTGGCTCACAGATTAAAAGTGGCAGGTATTCAGTTCTAAGATCTGGGTCATTTAGTGGGCCTACCAATTTCAACTTCCTTTTCCCTTAAAGAGAACTCAAGTGGCCAACTCTAGAAACAGGGCACTAGGAATATATCTCTACTTGCCACCGTCCTTAGCACAGAAATTCAACCCAAAAAAAAAGAAAAAGAAAAAAGAAATTCAACTCCAGTGATTAACAGAATGCCAAAACTCTTCAGGTGATAAGCTGTGAACTAGAGCTAAAGTCTTGATTAAACATGATGTAATGGGGCACCTGGGCAGTTCAATCGGTTAAGCACCTGCCTTCGGCTTGGGGTTCCTGGGATGAAGCCTGGCATCAGGCTTCTTGCTCAGCAGGGAGCCTGCTTCTCCTTCTCCCTCTGCACCCCCCCCCCACCCGCTTGTGCTCTCTGTGTCAAATAAATAAATAAAATCTTAAAAAAAAAAAAAAAAGAAATGAATTGTTCTGCTTATTAAAGTATTATTATTATTATAAGGAGCTATTCTAAAATAAATACATACCTTTTTCATTCTAATCTGTAATTTAATCCAATTCAATACACATTTATCAAATGCCTACTATGACCTAGGTACTTGACAGAGACAAAGAAGATGAAGACATAATTCCCACTTTCAGAGAGTTTGCACTGGAGTGAGGAAGACAGATATAAATGATGAGCCATAACATATAACAGACTGAAACGAGGTCTAAATGAAAAGATTGGCGGCATACTTTGTGAAAGCAAAGAATGAAAACATCTAGAAGAACCACCTAAAGGTTGCTGTGAAGGAAATATTTGAGCTGATGCTTGAGGAATGAGCAGGATTTGAGAAGTAGAGAAGCAGGGAAGAACACTGCAAGAAACGGTATGATCACACAGAGATGCAAAGTACCTAGAAGGCACTAATCTTTTTATTTGATAAGCTTTGTGATACCTATCAATATTTAAGCAAAAATCAAGCCAACTTCACTAACAAGTTTTTCTTCTCATAAAATGCATGAGGCTTATTTACCAATGACATTTAGTATCTTCCATTAAATTTTCCATTTGTTTCAGCCAGGTTGCTTCTCTTTTAAACAGGCCAAGTTGGTTTTCAGTAATGTCCCCTCAGAAACACCCCACCAAAGAATCCATACTTCATGTTTCCTCAACAACAACTTGCCATCCAACAAATTATGTAATTTAGATTCTACTACCTGGATAGTTTTGTGCTGATCAAGGGGAAGTATGTGAAGATGCTGGAATCAGGGTATTACACCCTGCAGATTATTCAGTCCCACTTTCTCATCTGCCAACCTAAGACTCCGGCAAATCAAGGCCAAGTGAGGTTCCTCAAAGGAATTTACAACCTAATTGAAGATCCAAGCTATGAAAACAAATAAACATGCACAGTAGGAAGTAAGCCCGTGAAAAAAGGATTTCTAAAGTTCTAAATCACATTGGATCAGATCCACTTCCTGAACCCACTGTTGTTTTGTGAATCTTATGACTTACGCTTTTAGACCTTGTTTCAACTTATTTTAGATTTAGTACAGCATTCATCTGAAAATGAATAAAGATGAGGTGATTTTCTTTTAATGGTACATTTAACAAAAGTCAGCAACTGGGTGGATCTTTCTTCCCAGTGAATTTACATTTTGACTCGCTAGAAGATTGGCATAACTTTGAGTAAAGACTGTTTAAAAAAAAAAAAGAACAGAGTAATACAACCTTCGGAAACTTGGAATAGAGTAAAAATAATGAAAAGGAGGGGCGCCTGGGTGGCTCAGTCGGTTAAGCGACTGCCTTCGGCTCGGGTCATGATCCTGGAGTCCCGGGATCGAGTCCCGCATCGGGCTCCCAGCTCGGCAGGGAGTCTGCTTCTCCCTCTGACCCTCCTCCCTCTCATGTGCTCTA